CAGAGGTATTTCGTAATGTTTTGCAACACCATTCTGAAGGCAAATTATTATGTAATATAGACATCAGTAGCATGTCTTCTGGATTTACACCCATGTACCTAAAAGCAGAATCTGCCCACTGCTTATTCCATGTCTGAAGTGAACAAGAAAAAAAAAAATTGAGACTGGAACCTTTCTCTTCTTTTTAAGGTTTATAAAGGGGGGTGGAAGGGGTGGGGGGGTGGAGTTGAAAAAGCTCTCACAGACAGTATTGTGCTACTCCAGCAAAAGAAACAGGAGAAACAGAATCCATTTGATAGGCTTCATTCATGCATTGGAACAGTATATATCCAAAGTCTTCATTGCGAGGCTGAGATTTTTATTCTGGTATCAAACCCACACGCTTCCAGTTTAAGGATTAAGCACTGGCCAGATAAATGTCTATTTTGCCTCTGGCTTAAAATGAGGTCGTGATTTCACCCTGTTTGGCTTTACACACATCAGCAAAAACATATTCTTAGAACCTAATCTTACCCCCGCTCCAGGGAGATTTTTGCCTGCATTAGGACAGCAAAATGTAACCTACACACTGACTCCTTTTGAATCACGTCTGACTGTACACGAGGCTGGATCCTGCTCCCACAGAACTTCCATTAGCATCACCAGGGGTGTGAATGTGGCGCATACTCATAACGCAATTTAATCCATGGGACTTACTCCTAAAACAAAGCTCAGTCAAGGGTCTGTTGAAAATCCAGGGCACAGAGATTTCAAAAACTGAGTGAAAGACATTTCAGCTCGGACATACCTTTCAAATCCTGCTGCATGTTTCCTCCTTTCTGGGAAAGTCGCTGGGAAGGGAGTCACTCTCTTCTCCATTGCCCTTGGAACTTTAATGAGTATTGCTTTGGTTTAATTCAAGAGAAGCTATTGAAAAGCAAACAAAGTGTCTCACAAGACACTACAGAGAGAAAAAAACTGGGTGACACAGAAAAATTGCTGTGAATTAAAATTTTAAAATGAAAATAAAAGTACAGGTGAGGTATTTTTCCATATAATTTCTTCCATGATTCCACTCGTCCATCTGTTTTGTCTTTGAAGTGTACAACTTGCCATTCATATTCCATCCCTATGCTTGGAAATCGCTGTCCATGAAGTGAAAGGTGAAGGAAAAGAAAAAAAAAAAAAAAGTAGAACGGAGTGAGGAAGACATGAAGGGGTGCAGGGAAGAAGAGATCTATTGAGTGTAAAGGTGTCCAAAGGAGGGATGGAAACGTGTTCCCCAAGGTCATGGTCTTCAATGGTGCTGCTTCTATTTTCAGGCTGCTAAAGACAAGCGTAGCAGGTGTACAAGAAGAGCCAAACTCCACATGCTACAGTAAGTGCAAAATCTCAAAACGCAGAAGCCATCACATCAAGGGTTTCCTTGTCCTCCAATAGAGTCTGCCCACAGTGGTTCTCTAGAAACAGTTCTATTATCAAGTAGACATCCATTGCTTTTTTTTTTTGTATTTTTATTTAAAAAGTAGTTTTTCTAATAATATATAGAATATATAAATAATAATAATTAAAAAAAACTATTTGGGTTTGCTTTCTGCTCTCCAACCCATCTGTATTTTTCGTGGTTTGCTGATATATATATTAAAAGACAAGAAAATCAACTCTGCTCACTATTAAAAAAAATATTAAATCCACCTTTTACGTTTCCAGAGAGAAAGAGAAGGGGGGGAGGTGGGAGGAAAACAAATTAAAATGAAAAAAATAACAGGAAAATCGAAACCTTCTGTCTCTTCAAAGTAGTTCTCAAGAGCTTTAAACACTTGTGCTTTCAGTGTACACCCCACAGGAAAAACAATAAAAATAACAACCAAAAAAGAAAACCAAACAAGGACCTAAAATTAAAAAAAGAAAAAGGTAATAATAATCCTAGTAGTAAAAAGGACAGCAAATTGCTCAGAGTTTGTGTGTCTTTTTAGTTATCTTAGCAGCCGCCCTTTTTGTCTGCAGAGGGAGAGCTGCCACCACAGCCACCTCCTCGGCTTGAGAGAGGCTCTTCTGCATCATCCTCGTCAAAGCCATGAAAGGTCGAGGTGTCGCTTTCTGACGTGGAACCGAACAAGTCCTCCGTAGTGCGTGCTGGCGCTGCTTCGTCCCTCCTGCCTTCTCTTCCCAAATGAGCTGACATGTATGATGAATATATCAGCACATGGGTTAAGCAACAGGCATCATCATCATAATTTTTTTAATCATCATTATTATTAAACAATTCAGACTATCAAGCTCATAGGTGTGTGCTTGTATGTGCCCGCGCACCTCAACAACATAGCTCGGTAGAACTGCAGTAAGAAAAATAAAAAAGGATCACTTTTTCTTTCAAAGAAAAAAAAAAAAATCTACAAACAACATAGGTGCCCATAGCTATGGCAGCGAAAGGGTTAATCATGTTTTCCTCTCTTCAAACGACATCAAAATATTTCCTCGTGATTACTTAGATCAATTTTAAAAGATTTTTAGACCATATAAGTAATTAGACACCGTTAGCTCTAAGCACAATGACTGTCCTTCAGACTGGCATCAACTGTCACAAATTTACTGCTATAGAACACTAGATAGCTCATCAACCTCAGGACTATTTTTTATCCTTCTCCTTCACCTGCTCCTAAAGAGCCTCCTCTGTAGACAAAATTATATACATTTCGAAGACTAAGTGAAAGTAACCTAAACAAATGCTTTTCTTCCAATTTCATGGCATCTCCTTCAATAATAAAATAAAAAAAACCCGAACAAATATATACAGTTGCACAACTAAAACAATTAAGATGAGAAGTGACCTGTCTGGGGGAACACTGAAAAGTTCAAATGTGTGTGAGTCAATCCAACTTTCAATATGGAACAGGAAATTCTCCAAACAGGACATCAATAGCAGCAGCAACAACAACAAAAAGAAGAGTCTTAAAAAGATAAGTCAAATACGGAAACGTGCGAAACTGAGGTTTATTTTGTCCCTCATTCAAACAGGTTATGTGATTAATAGTATAGCCTTCAAATTCTCTCTTCAGGAAAGGTAGAGGAAAAGAGGTCTCTTTTGCCCCAGGAAAATGAAAGTGTGAGATTTTAGGGAATGGCTATCTCATTATTCAGAAACAGCAGCAGTAACTAACTGTTTGGTCCCCGCTCCAGCTACAGGAATCAGCCATATAACAAGTACACTGCATTGCTTGAGACACGAAGAATTAAATCCTGTTCACAAAAAGAAAATGTATATAACAAAATAATCGGCAGATGAACCACCTTGTAGAGATGTGATTTTACTGACTATGTGAAGGGAAGAAACAATATCATTTCCATGACCTCTCTTTCAGTATAATGCAAATGTTCTCCATTATCAAGAAAGAGAAAGATGGCAGCCACCAAAGAGGTTTCATTGTTTTAGTTTACAGATTAGTGTGTGGTTGTACCTTAATCACTTTCATCACACATCAGTCACATCATTGCAGACCCCCATGAATGACCCAGGTGGGTCAGAATTTGTACAAGGATAGCATTTAATGGAACTGATTTTGCACAATTTAGGTTACATGCCGATCTACTTGTTCTATTGCACTAAGGAATCAAGGGAATTAATGTATTTGTGTTACATTCTGATATAATCACCATAGCAATGTTTAAATAGCAAAAAATATGGATCCATCTCACTGTGCCATATCAGGACAATGCTGAAACGAGTTATATTGAACTCTAACAATCAAGGGGAAGGGCAATGATCTTCCAAGATGGCACCACAGACCACATGAGCTTCCCCCTTCAGTTATTAAGAAGCAAACACGTATAGACTAAAAGGTCCATGCCCCTGACTGCACAGCATTCGTAAGGACGTCCCTGGAGAAAACCGAAGGGGTTGCCATCGGTCCTCTGGTGACCAGTCAGTATCACTTCAGAATATCTTCAAAGGTCACAACAACTGCAGAAGGCAATTTATCAGTGAGAGTCTAGTCCTGCTCCCACTGAACATGGTAAGAAGCGGGAGCATAAAAAGGCCATTCCCTCGGCACAAGAACACTCACATTTCAGCCATCACGCAACAGACATCTTTCGGTGACTACAGTACAGAAGCAGCAGCAGCAATACTGAATTTCAAGGTATTTTGGTTTTCAGATTTCCATATAATGGTCTTATCACCACTAGCATCACCACTGTCCAGAAATATCACAACTGGAAACTTGGACCAAAGCTGAAATATGCAGTTGTTAAAGGTTTTCCATTCCCTCTACCACCGCCACCACCTTCCATGCGAGCTATAAATAACTGCTCAGCTGGGATAAAATTTCTCCCCCTTCTCCCCCACCCCTCCAAAAAAAAAAGAGAAAGAAAGAAAAAAAAGAAAGAAAGGAAGGAAGAAAACAACAGTCCAGAAATAAAGACAACTCAGAATGGGAAAGACACAATTGCCTACATTTAAAAAGAGAGAAGGGAAGAAAACGGAGAAATAAAAACCTCTTTAAACAAAATTAATGATAGTCATCTTGTAAGAGGATAATTCTTGACAGCTACCCCCATCCCTACCCTGTAATTTCCTTCCTCTTTCTTTTTTGGATGAAGAAATGCATGAAATGTGTAATCAATGGAAATGCTTGTCATGCAACTTTCATAAATCTTGTAAGTAATTTATAGTTGTAATTGCAGCATTTGAAGACAGAGCCCATTCTTTAACATTGTCATAGGATTTTCTCCTTCCATTTGAAGAACAACTAGTACATGTACCAACGTTCACAGAAGCCAATAAATACATTAAAACTTTATTATTTCGTAGGACCCCATTAGCTTAAAAATGTGAATCCAACAATGGGTTTTATGACAGAAAATTTCCCAGTCATCCTTTCCCACAAACACAGACAAGAGGTAATACCTCATCTTCTATCCCCTCCCAAATGCACTGCCTTTCTTCAAAATCTTCAGAAAGAGCAAAAACCAAATCACACAAATGCCTTTGTACAAGAAAGTTGCAAGAAGGAGTCACCTACCAGAGCGCCCACAGTCTGAGCACGATACAAGTTCCTCAGGCCGGCCACTTTTTTTGTTCATATTGGAGCCTCCGAGGCAGAAGTCACAGTAGTTATTGGGAATGATGACCCCGTCTGGTCCTTTCTGGGCTGCAGTCGGGTTAGAGATCAGATTTACTTAAAGAGCATTCAGTGTGGACATTTCCCCCTTCTCCCTGATATGCTGTTAACTTGGTGAGTTTGTAGGCTGCGATCTTCCCAAAATATCATCAATTAGAACAAAAAGTGAACCATGTAGGTCACCTCCATTTTAAGTACACCCTGTGTTGTATCTGTTTTGCCTGAAATGCACCTCACCATTTCCTTTATAACGCCAGCCAGGCTGGTCCCTCACAAGGACCTGCTGCCAGAGATCCCTGTGCAGCTCAGGGATAGAAACAATCCCTAATGCACAATCAGACCTGTGCTGTCAGTGAGCCAAGCCTGGTTTTTCAGACAGTAGTCATAATTGTAAACCCACAAAATACAAATTCAGAAAGGAAAATTACATTCCCCAAACCTCAAAAACCAACAGCAAGGAGATGGTAGGATAGGAACCCTAACTGGTTTTATTTCAAGTAGCTTTTTGGGGGATTACATCTCAAAGTGGCAGGGTGTCCTTAGTCAAGAATTCGGTTCAAAGGCCCATGAATATTCACAGGCAAAGCCATTTGTGGGTGTTCACCCAAGGGTTAAGCTACCTGTGGCTGAGTGCATGCCCCTTGGGAGGAGCGGGGAGGGCAGCAGGTCCAGCACTACCCAAGCACCCACCACAGGTACAAAGAGTCAGCCCAGGGCAGACGTCCCAGCCGGCAGAGTTAAGAACTCTTTCAGCCAAGAAAAAAAGGAGGGAAATTACATTCTTATTTTCCAGCTAGGAATAGTTGGAAAGGAGCAGACACATGCTGGGTCTTAAGCGGAGGAGGAGGCAGTTCCCCTAGAAAGGAAAGAAGGGCAGAGGTCTTCTGCATTTGTATTAGCTGGGCAGAACAGCAATGTGCTTGTTTTCCTTGCTCACAACTGCCATTTTCCCCCTCTGCTCCCCAGAGAGGGAAAACTTCTTGTTCCTGCACACTCCAACTAGCAACTGGGGGAAGGAGAGGGGAGTGGGGGGAATGGTTGGTCTTCGTCTTTGTTTCTCCTTTTTTAACTTAACAAACCCAGTGGTATACCTGGCCTAATCCTACCCTGTGAAGTTTTCTACAAACTAGAAAATGAAGACCTTTAAACTGTACCATCTATATTTAATTATCTTTTTAATGCATATTTTGTAACTTGCAGATTTTTAACAGATGTTTTGACAGCCTTTATTAATGGTCTTTTTGTCCACATTCAAATTTCCCCCAAAGAACAATGACATTCTAAAGGGCTTCTGGTAGCAGTCCAAGACATACACTTAAAATTAAAATTTCCTCCGAGTTCAATCTGCTTTTCTGATTTGGGTGCATCTAGTTATTCGTTTACTTCCAGCTGTTGATTAGCTGAGCTTTTTGGAGATTGGTAACTGAATGATGGCAGGTAAGGTGAAATGAAGAAAAAAATTAAAACCCATAAGGCTGCAAATACATCAATATCTCCCTGCACGGTTGCAGAGTCCCCGACAGTATTTACTAAACGATGGGCTTTGCTCTGAAATGGTCCTGGTTAGCAGATCCCCAGTTCTCCCAAAACCAGAGCGAAGCTCCCAGCATTAGGTTAGCATTTTGCCTGTTCGCAGAGAGGCATTTAAAACATACGTGCAAGATAAGCAAAAAAAAGAACAGGAACCAGGTGGAAGCCTCACGCACCAGCTCATTTTAAGAGCTGTAACAAAATGATCATAAAGTTGCTACTTGCACATATTTTGTGTATAAAAAGCAGATCTCCCTAGCATTTATTTTTCCCACTACAGCCCCGTTCTGAAGAAGTTAAGTAATTACTTCTTTATACTGTGCTGCATCTACAGACAGGCCATGTGCAATGCAAACTCAGCAAGCAAAATGTTTAGTGGGGGGTTTTTTTGTTCTTTATTACATTACTTCATCTTTCATCTGAGTTTCTTAAAGTGCCTTACAGATACTAAGATCCTAATATTAACCCTCAGTGAGGTCAAAAGCCTCTGTTGCCATTGACTCTAACCAAAGTGTTGCTGGGCCCTAATTAAGTCTCATCGTGAGAAGGCAGCATGGCATTTTACAGCTGAAAGACGTGGAGGTAGAGTGATGAACTGGCTTACTCATGAACACACAACAGTTCTGTGGTGATGCCACAAATAAAAACAAGCATTCAAGGTGCTGGCCAGCAGACTTAGGAAACTCCGCTTCTACCACTGCTCAGAATGGTATAATTGACTGGTATAATTGATTTAATATTCTGCATATCCTGACTCAAATTTTTCCGATGCAGCTTATGACCCTAAGATCCGCTGACTGAGAAACTGGAATTGGGACAAGGGACCTTGTGAAAATACATATACTGATAATTCGTCTGCGGTAGGGGGGACAGGTGGAGGGTATTCGCTGACTGAGATGAAGCTGAAGGGATTCTCCTAGACTACTGGCAAGGCAATAAGCACGGGGTTTGATCACCTCCTTTTTCTTTTCTTCTTTTTTCCTTCCAATTTAATTTAATTTTTAATCTGAGTGCCTATGTGCTCATCTATTGCTCGTCACTTATAAATATGGACCTGGCTCAGTTGAGTGTGATAGAGATGTCAGGCCTGAAAAGGACACACAGATGAGAAGTTCCTGAAGTTACATCAATGATGTCTTACATGACGTATCTCTAGAGCCAAATAAGCTAGGCAATGTCATTCTCTTCAATCGTTTTTTGTTCTAACAGGTGCAAAAACTAGAATCAAACATGACTCAAGCTTGTTTTCTTGATCAGTACTGTACAGTGAATTAAGCCCCAGGCTAAATCACAGACAGTTTGAGAATAAAGAGATTTCCAGATGATAGTAAGCAGAGTTCTTACTTTCAAAGGATTTTTTTTTTTGTACGTCCCTGGAGTTCTTAGTTCTGTTTTATTGTAGTTCACAGATGATGAGGGAATTAACAAACAAAGCAAAGATAGCAGAATATAACGTGCAATAGTCATGAGAAGGGTATCATGCACCAAAAGCCCAGCCCTAATCCCACCCCTTAATCAATAAAATTACTTGGAAAAGTTAGTATGGTAATGGAATCACAAGTGAAAGCAATTAAATTACTAGGGACTAATGTGTAGCTGCTCTTCATCTGAGTCATAGCAATTAACTAGGTATCCACTTTTTGCACATGTTGATCACAAACTAGAAGGTGCTAGCTTAAGCCAGATGATAGCTCAGCTAATGAGAAGTAACTCTGAGAAGTAACTCACTACTAGTTCAATCATTTGGATCAGGTGACTACAAGCAAGGATTTTGTCTAAAAAATGTTCACCCAGAATCAGAAACCGTTTTAAAGCAAAGCCTGGAAAACCAACTGTGGTCTTGTCCTAACTTACTCAAAACTTCTCTGATTTTCTTTTACATTACAAACTGCAGTAACAGATCAAAAGCTCTGAGGAGCTTTGAGGAGTACTGCCTGAGCCAAGGTGTGCTCACAGGGGGTGTATTTAAGTCAGTGCCTCTTGCCTACAGATTTCAACTCTGTATAGCTTTCTAGTTTCATCAAAGGCCTTGTCTTCATCTACACCTGCCCCAAAATAAATAGAGTACACAATTTTTTAAAAAACCTTAAAAAATGGATTAAGGAGAGACATAGAAAGATCTTCACAGTTCAAACGATAGTTTCTCTGTACCTGAAAGCTGATTCATATGAAGACAGGATGCAGGCTAAGAATGAAGTCGATAATTCCAAATAACTATGGTACGTGCTTATTCTGAGATATATTTTTTCTTCTTAGCCTAATCAAGTTAATTTCAAGCTATATCAAGCTAAGCAGAATAAAGACCTACTTAAAATATGGTACCATTATTCACAGGGGTCTTCTTGCAAAATAAGTACTGTAAATTAAATAAATTCTGTAGTACATCACACAGTAACTTTGCTCTGTAGACAAAACCTAACAAGCTAAACAAATTGACTGGGTTTATATATTTAAAATAACTCCTGTGCCTTCTTGATTTTGAAGGCAGGTGCTCTAAACAGAGATCTTTCATAGCTTCCCTTCTCCCCTTTTCAAGTAAACAAAAAACCTGGAAGTTATCTTCCTCATCGTTTCAGTTTAATAATAAAAGAAAGCTGCTTCTGGAGAAATAACATCAAGAAATCAGTATTTTTGTTTTCTACATCAGCTCCTGGAGCCACATGACTCAATAAGAATCTCAGTTTTCTAGGTGTCATAGTTGCAGAGAATATCTGGAATGGAAGGTAAGTTTAGAAGCAGCAATTCTTGTCCCTGTTTTTTAATCAGAAAACTCAGAATACAGGTATTTTAAATAGCTTTCCTTCAAATGTGACCCTTAAATACATACAGACAAAATCCCAAACAAATAGAACCTTGTAGTTTTTCAATTTTCTGATTTCTAAGTTACTTTGATGATTTGGATCATGATCTTTAAAAACTTGGAGCTGGAGCTAGTGCTTAAAAGAAAACTGGTTCCTCTGTTCCTTGGTACCAAATCACAGTCACATACATTTCTTCAGCTTGCAGGTAACACAGCACAACCCTTAACCATGGTTTTAAGCTCTGCATCTAGGTTTGGTAGCATTTTATCCCTATTTTTTATCCTATCCACACTACTGGAGAATGAGGAGTAGAGTGCGTGCCTCGCTGTTGGGGGGGGGGTGGTGGTGGTGGTGCATCGTTTATTTAAACAATTACAGTGAGTTGGCTACAGTTGGACATACATGCACTCCCAAACGGATTTTTCCTAGCACATTTTGTCCAGCTCTTACCTGTTTCTTCTGGGCTTGATCCAAAACCAATAAAGTCCACTGGAGGTTTTCAATTCAATTTGAAAGGCTTTGAATCAGGCCATTTACTCTGTTTGCAACAAAAATTTGCAGAGCACAATAGAGACCACGGGAACCTCTGAATCAAGTCAATGCACTTTTCAGTGGAGGAAAAGGGATGGATTTTATATGTTTGGGGTTTTTTTCATCTATAAGACTCTTTGTCTGAGACGGGGCCTGGTTTTCCTTTCC